TTTAAATATCATATTATAATTACAATTACAATTATAATAACTGTACATGTGATTTACTTTATATATAAATAAGTGCACTTCTTTAAAGCATGACAAAAGATTATTAAAAAATGGTTTATATTTATGTAAGGGATAATCAACGGTTTACCGTGCATTAAAGGATTTTACATGCACAATGTGGAGGCCAAGAAACACCCGACGCGAAGCGCAGCACAATCTGCGATCTCCGACCGCTCTCTCTCGCTGTGTTTGTGTGTGCAAGTGATGTGTGTTCATGTGTGTTTGTGTGCATCAATTAAAGCAGCACATTGATATGGAACAGTGATTAAACTGACTTGGTGATTTAAAACGGTTTTAATGCACACCTGCCAGCCAATCAAAATCCAGTATTCAGACAGACCATGGAATAAATAAATAAATAATATTTATTAACTCTGATAATATTGTTTATTAAATCTAAAGTTTAAGTTGAAGCACTAGAACAACTCAAGCAAAATAAAAATAAATAAAAAACATACTAAAAGTTTATAAAAACTATAAAACACATAAAAAGTGATAAAAAAAGGTCAGAAACACCTTTATGTAGTTTCCTACAGAAACTATGTGTAACACAATCAAAACACTTAGCAAAACACTATTTTATTCAAACATGGAGGATACACTACTGTAGGAGATATCGCTGGAAACTGGAACACACTAAACCTAAACAATACCTGGCAGTGAAACAAAGGAAACACAGGGCTTAAATACATGAGTGTCTATGCTAGTATATAAATTATACTAAAATAACACTGAATTACACTACAAGTACACATTCATTACAATTAAGCGCACTTCCTTTTAAAAGAGTTATTATTTGGACCATTAAACGGCACCCAGAACATGCGTAAAGAAGCCATCCAGAATGCCTTTGCAACCATATAGCCACCTGATAAAAACCACACAGAACACGCAGAAACCACACAGTATGTGTTTAATGTTGCATTGTGATGTCTTATCTGATTTAGACTGTACAAAGGCAGCGCAGGCTACTGCAGCACATACAGAGGCGACGTGTGTCGGAACGAGCTCCGTCGGGACGTGCTGGTGTTTTTTAACTATTCTCTTCCAAACCCGGAGGATGCTCAGGAGTACCTGGCCCAGAGCGCGTGGGGGGAGCTGGACGGGGTGAGCTCATTCTGCAGGCCCGCTGCCAGATCACTGCTCTGTCACGCCACCTTCCAGGACTGCAACCCGTCTGGACTGGGACCAGCACCCAAACCTGTCTGCAGGTAATGCAAATGAGCTGATACCATGCAGAATATACCTATACCAGAAAATATACAGTAAACCAGAAGAAGCCAAAGAAACATATAGGCTATGAGTCATTCTTTGTTGCCTGGATCAGATTTCCTAACATTGCATCAGAAAAAAAAACATATCTTTACTGAAAAGGAAACAGCACTGATGAGCTGTGAAACATGAACCTGTTCACAGAATGACAACCGGATAAATTAGTTATAGATTCTGTGTTTTGACAAATGGCTGACCATTAGCTTTTCTTCTGTACTTACATGTCACCTATAATAACATTTGGAGTATAACTGATTTTTTATTAAAAACTAAAACAAAAAAATAAACATGAAATTTCAGCGTTGCCATCTACCAGTTGTTATCTAGCAGTTTCTGGAATAAAAAAATAAAAAAATAAAAAATAAATATATATATATGAGGAGTTTGCTTCCAAAACGCTATAAATCCATTTGGATTAATTTGAGTAAAAAATGGTCAATACTAATCTTATATACAGGCACTGGACTAAAAATACATTCAATCAGTCATAGCTCCAAAAATAATTCAACGGATCATCTTTTTAATGCTATAAATTAATTACAACAATAAAAGCACATTTAATTATGAACATACATGAACAACAATATCACATTAAACCACAGAAATTCCAAAATGACATTTCCTTTACATTCAACTTCCAAAAGTGCATTCATCTTTGCCATGTTACATTCATTTAGTTGACTAGTGCTATATGCTGTAACAAAAACATTAATGGCATACATAAAAACACTTTCACTGACATGCTCCGCAATATCGCGTTCATAATCGAATGTGACTCATCTGCGATTATGAACGCGATATAGCAGTGAGCTACGGCTCTGTGTATTAAATGCCGCTCCATCTGAAAGCACGTGATGGAGATTTACTATTGATCACAGAACCGTCTTTACTGACAAGATGCGCATGACAATCACATGCGATTTATCGTGCAGCCCTAAGTTTGTTTGTTGATCACAAAGTACAAAGTAGATGAGGAAAACTAGGATGCCGGGTGTATTCAAAGCGCCGCCATTACTGTCTTCAAATCCAGATTTTGATTTTCAAAGATTTATTATAAAATTGTATACTTTTTTCCCCAAAATGCAATAAATCCATTGAATCAATATAAAAGTTATTTTTCATATTGAAATTGTTGAAAATTCACAACATAGTAAGTTGATTCACATATGACAGCCTCTGAACTTGGTCAATACTAATCTTATATACAGGCACTGGACTAAAAATACATTCAATCAGTCATAGCTCCAAAAATAATTCAACGGATCATCTTTTTAATGCTATAAATTAATTACAACAATAAAAGCACATTTAATTATGAACATACATGAACAACAATATCACATTAAACCACAGAAATTCCAAAATGACATTTCCTTTACATTCAACTTCCAAAAGTGCATTCATCTTTGCCATGTTACATTCATTTAGTTGACTAGTGCTATATGCTGTAACAAAAACATTAATGGCATACATAAAAACACTTTCACTGACATGCTCCGCAATATCGCGTTCATAATCGAATGTGACTCATCTGCGATTATGAACGCGATATAGCAGTGAGCTACGGCTCTGTGTATTAAATGCCGCTCCATCTGAAAGCACGTGATGGAGATTTACTATTGATCACAGAACCGTCTTTACTGACAAGATGCGCATGACAATCACATGCGATTTATCGTGCAGCCCTAATTTTTTTGTTCGTTTGTTGATCACAAAGTACCACATAGATGAGGAAAACTAGGATGCCGGGTGTATTCAAAACGCCGCCATTACTGTCTAGAGTGCATGGAATGGTGCACAGTGATTGGTTGAGCGGATATATCGCATTCTGCAGAAAAGGGAGACTGGCGTTTGTGGCGGTCTGGAAAAAAATCTGAAAACATGACAGAATAACTTGGCGGATATCACATTTTGCTTAAAAAAAAAGGACTTTTCAATACCGACCAGATTTTAGCGGAGCAGGCACGCAGCAACACAACAATATTAGCACAACACAACGGAAACAAGCCACAACAAAACTAAATTAACACAACACAACGAAATTAGCACAACAGAAACATGCCGCACCACAATGAAATTAGCACAACACAACGGAAACAAGCCACAACAAAACTAAATTAACACAACACAACGAAATTAGCACAACAGAAACATGCCGCACCACAATGAAATTAGCACAACACAACGGAAACAAGCCACAACAAAACTAAATTAACACAACACAACGAAATTAGCACAACAGAAACATGCCGCACCACAATGAAATTAGCACAACACAACGGAAACAAGCCACAACAAAACTAAATTAACACAACACAACGAAATTAGCACAACAGAAACATGCCGCACCACAATGAAATTAGCACAACACAACGGAAAAAAGCCGCAACACAACAAAATTAGCCACAACACAACGGAAACAAGTCGCAACACATCAAAATTAGCACAACACAACGGAAAAAAGCCGCAACACAACGAAATTAGCACAACAGAAACACGCCGCACCACAATGAAATTAGCACAACACAACGGAAACAAGCCACAACA